CTATATGATGTGGCATTTTCTATTTGATATGGCATTTTACTATATGATGTGGCATTTTACTTTACGGTGTGACACTTTTCTGTAGCAGGATACTGAATGTTGCAAGTACTATACAAGGGACGCGGAATATTCAGTAAGGTGTGCGATTTCTTAAATAAAATATATATAATCAACATCACACTCCAGCCTAGAAATCGCTACACTTGTAACTAACCATAGAGGAAAAATCTTCAATATTCTTTATCAGACTCTTGAATCTTTTAAGTTTATAGATATAAACAGAACTGGAATATTTTGAAACTCGCCGAAAGTAACTTACAGGTACTACGGAAATTTGTTGGAGCACTATGAATTTCGTATTTTTTTGTATTTTCTTCCTTTGGATATTTATGATTCGTACGAATGAAGTCGGTACAACAAAGATATATCGAAATAATTTGGTTGACTGTTGGCACGGCTAGAAAATGTTCGACGAAAATTACGATAATGGTATCTGCAAAATCTTTCTCATATAACTATATCTATAAACACATCCTGAGTCAGTTTTGTCTCACCTGGGTACTGGTTCTGAATATTTCTTTTGAAATCTCAGAAATGAATACTGTTGGTAATCAGAGGTATGGCACGTAGATTATATGTCGTTTTTTCATTACTTACTGAATTCGTGCTGCGCTAATGAAAACACCTGCTCCAATTCCGCAATTCTGGTTACTGGTTCGAATTTCGGAATTGCACGGAATTCTTGAGGGTGTGGGTGTGGGTGTGGGTGTGGGTGTGGGTGTGGGTGTGGATCGTAATCTTCTCTTCATTTACACCTACACCCACTCTGATACCCTCACCCAATCTGACCAACACTCACTCACAACCACATGCGCACGCATATCGATACTCACATCCATCGCACACCCTAAACAATAATACGTATTATACCCTCTTATTTCTATAGAATGTGCATAATCGATTATTTTACGTGTGAAATATTGAAAATATTAATTACTAAAAACTAATCACGGATTCAAAGTTTTCATCACCAATTATCTTCAGTGATGTTTTATGAAAATATTCACAATTAACAGCCGAACGAACAGTTCGTCGTTTTTTTTGTATCTGCTCGATGCATTACCCTCCTTTTAATAGAGGGAACTAGCCATTATGAAAGACTACAAGAAGCATTTATATCCAATGAATTAAGAAGACATTTTTTTACATTTTAGTCCAGTTTACTGCGAGATGGAGGCTTTAATTAACCAACACAATCTCTTACAGCAGTAATTCAATGAGAAATTCGTTCTTTTTTTAGTAACTATAATCTCATTAACTTTTTTGTTGTAAAAAGAACGAAGAAAAAACGAAAAAAAAGTTAATAGTGTACTCCACAAATAATGGATAAACAACAAAAACATCGAAATAAAGACAAACGAGTTTGTATAATATATATTTTTGTTTCCCTCACACATATTAACCAATTGAGTCAACATCATCATAAATATAGTGGAACATTCAAGTACAAGTTAAGAAAAAAGCATATTTGTAAAATGAATTCTCGCTGTACAACCGATAAAAGAGAGACAAAGAAAGAAAAAACAACAACGAGAAGACATAGCAAATGAAGAGAGAGAGAAAAAAATAACAACAACATGAATATAACAATAAAAAAAAAGCAGCCCGAGTGTTCTTTTTTCTTCTTCTTTTGATACTTGATATGAGTGCAAAAACAAAAATAAATCTCTATTAAATATCTCATTTTGTCATTTACTTATACCATTTGTATAATATTGAAATGTATCATAAACTCTTGTTGTCAAAGAATTTAGACTACTTTCAACCATTTTTTCTACATTAAATTCTAATTGTTCATCTGTCATATTTAGATGAAATCGTTCACGTAAACCTAATGTGACATTTCCTTTGGAAAAACAATTCAATTGTGAACCTAATTTAAATAATAGAAAAACAAAAATGATTTTTTTTTCAATTAAAAATTTCTTGTTTAATATTTTTACCATGCTGCATTATTTCTACAATAGGCATCAATTTATCCATATGTTTTCTAGCTGCTAATAAACCTTGAAGAATAAGTATTTTATAATAACCATACATATCACTTTGTAATCCACCCATAATATCAACAAATTCTTGTGTTATCTTAAATGGTGAACTTTCGAAACCGAGATTTTTAGGTGTTGCAGATAGCATATAACCAAAATCAATATGAATAACATGACCTTCATCATCTAATAAAATATTTCCATTATGTCTAAAAATGAAAATAATTATTCGTTCTTCACTCAATCAAAGAATAATTCCTTACCGATCTTTAACTTGTAATAAATAACAAATAATTGAATAAGCAGCATTACTTTGTACAAAATTTTTGACGGCTGTTAAATATTGTTCACTTCTTTCTGTACCAAATTCACGTAAGAAATAATTTCTTGATGATAATTTGGAATTTTTCTTTATTTGATGAAGTGATACAGCATTTAAAATTGGCTCAATTAAACCTAACAACAATTCAATGATATAGAGAAAAATATGTATTTTATTTTTTTACCACTATTATTTGATAAAACAAGAATAGTAATTGGACGTACAAACACCGGTACATGTTCATGTAACCAAATTTCTTTTAATCGAACCATAAATTGATAAGCAAGTAATTCATGACGAAGATCATCACCACATTTAACAATGGCTGCAACCAGTCTCCAATTTCTTAAATGACCGTATAGTGATGATTATCGAATTTGTTGTTCTTTTTACCAAAGTAAAGTTAGCACCATATTCGAGTATTTCCTGTGCGGATTCCCCTGAGAATTTGTGCTGCGTCTAAAAATGCTTATATTACATTCAGAATTCAATTCTCTATCCAATCATGTTATTCTCGACGGGGATTATTGCGAGAAAAAAATCGGCATCACACCCACACTCAGATCTTCGTCTCCGCCGATGCCCCTCGAGAATAATATGATTGAATAGAGAATTAAATTCTGAATTCAATACAACCATTTTGAGGCTCAGTACAAGTCATAGAGCAAATCCGGATAAGAAATAGAAAATTTATAAGTACAAAAAATAGATGAAAAACCAAGTTTTTCGTCAAAAACTCCGTTTTTTGGACAGTGATCCTCATCAAAAGTGGCATTATTCGGTAGAAAATTAAATTCTGAGTCTAACATAAGCATTTTTAGACGCAGCACAAATTCTCAGGGGAATCCGAACAAGAAATACTCGAATTTGGTGCTAACTTTACTTACATTGGGATAATCGGAATTTTTCTAGAAAACGAGATCAATTATCATAACACCTGTCTGAGAACACTTCTTTAATTGTCAGCATTACACATATAAATTGAATGCACGTCTTAAAAAATAGAAAATAAGAGACGATTATTTAAATATCTCGTGAGACTTACCAACTAGTCAGAATGAAGATTCCAGTATTAATCTTGTTTATTTTTCTTAAGTACTTTTTAATTACAATTTTGAATATGTCAATAAATCCGGAAACGAAAATATCCGGTGAAGTAAAGTCAGGAAAAGAAAAAAACACATGTCAATATGTTTTTTCTTTTTTTTGTATCTTTTGATAGAGATCAAACAAACAGCTATTCATATGCTTTGTGTTCACGCACTCCTGGTTACCTTTGTATTATCCGCTCTCTCGCTCTGCGTTCCTACTATTATGGTCTCTCACTCTCTCTCGGACTATTTTAGATACTCGCTTATGCAACGGCGACATCGATCGTGTCGAACCTCTCCACGGACTCTCTTTATTGGTAGCTTCAAAGAGGTAAACTTCTTATCGAAGTGTCTTTCACATCTTCATTATTTCTACTCGTGATGTCTGTTATGATTAATAAATTACGAATAAATGTTTTCCTGATTTTTCATTCTTCAGGTTTTCTTTTTCTGGTTTCTTTTCCGGATTTCTTGGCAACACCATTTTCTGTATTAAGTCAAAAGCATGTTTTTGATTGTCATTTTTTGTTTACTTCCTACGGCTATAAAAAGAAAGAAAAATCTTAAATGAGTCATCTTTTTTTTTCATCATGATATAAAAAAACAAGCTTCAGTATTAATTTTATAATCTAGTAACATGTCGTCTGAATTACATATAAATGATGACGATCAAGCATTAGCAATGACCTCTAACAAACCAAATCAATATAAAATACGTCCAATGAATGAAACTGATCTTCCGACAGTCGTTGAAATTGAAATAATGATCTGGGGTGATGAATCATGGAATTTGGGATTTTTTTACGATTTTTTTAATGATCCATTGTCAAGTTGTTGGATACTTGAAAATACCAACAGTGCACAACCAATAGTTGGATATGGTTTACAATCTCTATTATACAATGAATCAAGTATAACAAATTTAGCTCTTCATCCTAGTCAATGGGGACGTGGCTTAGGTGGTATAATTTTATGTCATATGATAAAGCATGCTCGTCTAACTTGCGCTGTGAGAATGAGTCTTGAAGTTAGCACATCGAATGAACGTGCATTAAAATTATATTTTAATCATGGATTCCGAATATCTAAACTACTTCCGAAATACTATGGTTCTTCCGATGGTTACTCTATGATACTTCAATTAGAAAATGAAATTTAATGTTAACTAACATTTATGATTTATTTTTTTGTTTAAATAATCGATCATTTCTTTTTCCATGTTAAAAAATATGAGTAAAAGTTGCTTTCAAATCATCGTATTAAAAATGCCGAGAAATGTGACTATAATAAGAAAATAAATCGGTGTAAGATACTGCGAATATCGTTGAAATAAGTTTATATGGAAAAATATATATAGCTATGACAATAATGTAACAGATCTTGATGAAATTAATAAAATAGATGAATTTTGAATAGTTTTATTATTAGTTATTATAAAATAAATTAAACTAGAGCTTTCGATACTTCAAGTATCATTGTCAGTAGTGCATTTTAATGAAATTACGCTTGTATATCACTGAACGCCACAAGTAACAAATATACAACACATAAAAACATTAAGAATTGGTCTGTATAACTATAAATAATGATAATAATGGGTGTGGGTGTGGGTGTGGGTGTGGGTAAGGATATGGGTGTAAAGGTGTGAATGTGAGAGTGGGTGCAATGAATAAGATACACCCACACACACCCTCAAGATGACTGCTCCTAAATCCTTACGCTCACCCATTTTCACATCCTCCAAATGGATCCTTGATACTCTTCAGGATCTATCCAAATCCATAGGATCCGCTTTTTCCCCCTGAGTACAAAATTTTATCTTGGAAGAAAACTTCATTTTCTTACTCTTTCATTATCTACGATCTATACAACCAAGCACGAATATAAATGAAACTAATATCTTATTTAGAAAATGATACGTCCAGTAGAGATGTTTTTCACGAAAATGAGTTGTCTGCAGTGAGCATCACTCATCATCAATGGTAAATGCATGAATTTTATTTTATTTAACAGAAAAATGAACAAAAAAGATATTAATCAATGTCTTTTATGTTTTAATAACATAGATTTATTAAAGATGAACATTTTTGTTAAAAAAACAAGCTGTGCTATATTATATAAAAGAAGAAAAAGACAAAATATTCTGAAAATGGTCGAATGAATTATGAATGAAGAATACAATATAAAATCATATATCGACAGGCACCAGAAAAAAAAGATGAGAAACAAGCTGCTGTTGGTTTGATGATGAATATAATTCGTATGCGCATATGCCAATGACGTACTTATGTCATGCACAAGAAATTCTCATGCGCAATTGATGAAGTGCTTCTATATGCGAAGATAAATAATATATAAATGTTCGATAAAAGAAAATTTATTTTTGAAGAGGCATTACAATAACACGCTCATTAAATTAATCATCAATCGTGTTTTATTCTTTTATTTCTTTAAGATTGACTACCATTTTCGAGTTACTCTATATAAATAAAGAAGAAAATCGGCCTGACTAAGAACTCTTTGAGGGTGGGTGTTGGTGTAGGTCTGAATATCTGGTATACATGAAAATCATATCAACAATCACACCCGCACCCATTAGTTCGAATGCAGAATTTTTATACTTATTTGACGAACAAAATTAAGTAAAGATTAATTATTGACTTTTAAATTCATTATGAACAATGATGATTACCAAATCATATTAAAAAAAACCAAAGAGTTTATAAATAAAATAAAAGAAATGTCTAACGTTTAAAATATTCTCGAAATATTTTTATCATAAATTAATCGGTTGTAATAAAAAAATCTTTAATCTCTCTTCTCTAGTAATATAAAACAAAATGAATGAGAAATACATCAGAGCATTTTTCACTCAAATAATATCAATAATTTTCAACGACTTTATGATAAAAAGAAAAAGATTAATTCAATCGGAATCAAGAGTTTTCTAAAAGCATAATTGAAAGATGGATTAAAAATTTCTTTAAAAAAAATGAGATACACAAATACAAATGAAATAGTAACTCGGAGCTTGATGAAAACGAATATATAAAAACATGAATTCGCTTAAAAACCATAGAAGTACAGAGATGATGAATATCAATTTCAATAATTCGCAGAATTAGGGCTAGTTAACGTTTTCATATCAATACATGTATCTTTGTTTCAGTAAGTGATAAAATATTGTTTCAATTTGAAAACATTTTGTTCTTGTTGAACGGTATAAAAGTTCAAAATATGATTTATAATTATATCTAAATCATTCTTGTACTTTTTTTCTATATGTTAAACATCTACGTGCATATTGTTCATTTATTGTAAGCTTTCATGATTGATGAATCTAGGGGAAAATCATGAATTTACTTTTCTTAACATTATTAAAAATATTTTGATTTATTAAGTCAATGATAGATCCGAAATAATAAAAAGCACGTTTGATTGTCTTCTCTCAAGCTTTATAATAAACTCTTCATTTATCATAGTTATATAAATGATAAATGGATAAAAATTATTTTTCTAGGTATGAAGTGCGCTAATGAATTTTCTCTTCGTTTCATTTATATTATGAGTCGGTTGAGACAATTACTCACTTAGATTTGCAATATAACATCGAAATTATACAATGCATCAATATCTTCAGTTCGTAACGCTTTATTGATAAGTTTATAGATGAATTCATCTAGATTATAACTTTTAACCCCCTTCTAAAAGATCTGTAATATCAGTGGAAATATCTGCAGTTTCCTGCCTTTTTGAAGATGCATAGCGTGTGCCAACAGTTAAATACTGTTATAAATCATGTCGTAGGACACATCAATAGCCTTCAAAAATCAAGAAACTGCAGTTATTGCTACTAATTTTCCAGATTGTTGAGAAGAAGGTCAAACATGACCTCAGTTAGTACTGCAAGGGTTAATAACTAGATTAGATTTATAATCTATTGCAAATTCGACGATATTTTGTGAAATTCACATATATTTTACGAAAGAAAATAGTGGGTGTAAACTATAAGCTAAAATTTTGCGACTTTCCTTTTATTTGAAAGATGAGGCTCTAAAGGTTATGTATATAAAAAAGTATATTCCATCGAATATAAACTAGCTGTGAAATGAATCAAGCAAGGCAAGTTATTATTTTAGTGTTAGTACTCGGGAAATCTACTCGACTATACTATCATCTTT